AGGGACGAATTTTATATGGCTAATCTCTTGTTATAATTACAGATTAGGGTGTTAAGCTCGAAAATGAGGATAACCTACTTACATGTGAACCTAGTATAAGGCCATCATGCCGGACTTTGTCAAAAGCTTGACAGATGTCCAAAAATGCACCGGAGCAGTATTGCCTCCCTCCGAAGGCTTTTCTAACAATTCTATGAACTTTTTCTACATTGCCATGTTTTTCACGAAAACCAAACTGATGTGGTGGTATTATTTGGTTACTTGTTAGTGAAGGTTGTATTGTTTTCAATAGAAGTATTTCAAATATTTTAGAAAATACAGAAATCAAGCTAATCGGTCGATATGGACTTACTAATAAAATAAAAATAAATAAAATCTGTGTAAGTATACGCGTAAGATATTCAAGACTGGATTTTTGAACATGAGCTTTTTTAAAATATACACATGAAGTGTTTAAAATTGCAAACGTTTTTTAACGCAAAAATACAAACCCACTAAAAATAAAAATTAAGTACATTTTATGTGTCATTTTGCTCTACGCGACAAATGTGGTATGTAAAAGTTAAAAGGCAGTGTTTAATTTTATTAACACGGTGTCTAAATTTGCACACATTAGGAGAGGACAAGTGGCTCAAGTTCCGAGGCAGCCTTCCAGCTATTAGCGCTTTCCGCATATCACGATGGATCGGAATGACCAAGTCAGCAGCTACCACGCTCCATGGGTTTTGCGATGCCAGCAAACGGGCGTACGCCGCTGTCATATATTCACGAAGCATCGAACCCGATGGACAGGTGAGAGTGAGACTCGTAGCTGCACGAACTAAGGTTAGTCCACTTAAGGCAATCACCATTCCGAGGCTGGAATTGTGCGCCGCTCACTTGCTTGTAACTTCTATGGTGAGTGTACGCGAGGCTCTTCAACTCAGCAAAGATCAATGCACCTATTGGAGCGATTCCAGCATAGCCTTTGCTTGGATACGCAAGCCACCAAACATTTTGATGCAGTATGTCTCCAATCGAGTGGCTTACGTCCAAAGGAACTCCAATCCTTCAGATTGGCATCACATAAGCAGCAAAGACAATCCTGCCGACTGTGCCAGTCGCGGCATGACACCAGCGGCTCTTCACAATTTTTCCTTATGGTGGAATGGGCCAGGCAACATGTACGAAGACAATCTTATACCAAGTGAGATCCCACTTCTCGGCGACAGCGAGCAGCAAGTGCACGATGCCGAACTGAGGCCACTTCGAACACATATCTGCACTCTGACCATCCCTAAGATACAAGTCCGGCGGTGTAATGGGTCACTTACCACATTCATTCCATTAGTGGAACGCTTCAGCACTTTACAGCCTATGTGCTACGGTTTCGGCCAGCGGGCAGACCCTACTGGCGTACGCCAGTTATAACAGTAGATGAAACTTACCGAGCCTTTGAAATTCTTGTTCGAGAAGCGCAAGGTAATCATTACAATTCAGAAATTAATCATTTGTGAGCTTCTTCCAGCGTTGGTGCTTCGAGTAAGTTGCTCTCTCTGAACCCTATCCTGGATGACGCTGGTGTGTTAAGGGTTGGCGGCTGACTGAGGAACGCAGACCTCACGTATGAGCAGCGCCATCCGATCATCCTCCCTAGAGAATGTGTCCTAGCTACGCTTCTGGTCCGCTACGCACACAGGATTACAATGCACGGTGGCATTAGGGAGATGCTACAGTACCTCCGACGGGATCTCTGGATTGTGCACGCTAGAGTGCGGTGCCTACATCAGTGTAAGACCTGCAAGTTACACCAAAGAGCAATGCAACAACAACAAATGGCTGATCTACCTCGCTCTCGAGTAATGGTTGCGCCTCCCTTTTCCAACGCTGGGTTGGATTACGCCGGACCATTCCTCGTCCGCCATGGTGGTAAACGTTCTACCACCACCACCAAGACGTATGCTGCGATCTTCATATGCATGTGTACAAAGGCAGTGCACATAGAACTGGCGGAAGACCTGAGCACCCGAGCATTTCTGGACGTCTTTGATCGATTTGTGAGTCGTAGAGGATATTGCACCAATCTCTATAGCGACAATGGCACCCAATTTGTGGGGGCAAACCGTCAACTCCAAACTGACCTGGTCGACTGGCACAACACTTATTCCAAGCAACAACTGTCTGTAGCAGGCGACCGCTGGCACTTCATAACTCCTTCCGCTCCTCATCAAGGAGGCTTATGGGAGGCTGCAGTGCGTTCGGCCAAGAAGCATCTCAAGCGCGTCATTGGTGACGCTGTTCTCCCGTTCATCCAACTCAGTACCCTGCTTGTACGCATTGAGGCATGTCTCAACTCGAGACCCATCATCGCTCTTCATGACGATCCCGAAAGCGGCGTCGCGCTATCACCTGGAGACTTCCTCATCGGCCGCCCATTGAATTCTCGTCCAGAGGCCACCGTTCCGGAAGCTCCGGACAATCGGCTAAAGTACTACCAACGACTACAACGCATGTTGCAACATTTTTGGCACCGGTGGAAGGAGGAATACTTGGTCCAGCTGCAGGCTCGTAGCAAGTGGGCCCGACCTACGCCAAATCTACAAGTTGGTGATGTCGTGGCCATCCAGCAAGAGCAGCTTCCTTNCTCCGGACAATCGGCTAAAGTACTACCAACGACTACAACGCATGTTGCAACATTTTTGGCACCGATGGAAGGAGGAATACTTGGTCCAGCTGCAGGCTCGGAGCAAGTGGGCCCGACCTACGCCAAATCTACAAGTTGGTGACGTCGTGGCCATCCAGCAAGAGCAGCTTCCTCCATCTCGATGGCGCATCGGTCGCATTAACAGCAGTGCATCCGGGGAGTGACGGGCTGGTGCGCGTAGTCACCATCGAATCCTGCGCATTCGAAAGAGGCTTCTGTCGCAGACATTTGTGTCAGCGCCCAGTCCAACGAGTATGCCGTATTCTTCAAGCCCACGAAGGCTTTCTAAGTCCGGAGGACTTAGCCGGGGAGGATGTACGCGATTAAGTGGCAACGACCAGCTTTATCGTCTGCACTCTGCACAAACCTTTAGTGTCATTCGCGGCTGCACTCTGAACTAGCCTTAAGTGTCGTTCGATTATTTATGTTTTGCATACATACATACATACTTCCATCTTTATATATAATTAGGGTTCGAAATTTCAGACTTTGGTATCGATATTGAGTACTCATTCTGGCATCGAGCTCATGGTATCGATACTCTAAAAGTATCAGGGAAGAGGTATCGATACTACTCAGTATCGGACTTATTAAAATACTAAAATAATTTTTATTCTTCAATCGTATGTCTAGTTATTTCCTGAAATTAAAACAATAGAAATTTAAAATATCTGATTTTCATTTCATTGCAGAACTTACTTTCGCGTTAGAAGTAATTTTAACGTTAAATATACATACATACATTCATACATACATACATATATACTTTCACGAATTCAAATTTTATTAAGAAATTTTTTGTAAACTTTTTGGGTAGGCATTTTTGTATCCTAAATATTCAATTTTAGTATAATAATGTGTAAAACTTGAATAGGTTACAAAACTGCATACCCAAAAAGTTTCTAAAAATTCTGAATTTTCGTGAACTTTGCGTAAAGTTTTATAACCTTAATCATAAAAATTAAAAAAGGTATATAAACTGAAAAATTTATGAAAATGTAATTTTATTAAGCTCTTTAAACCTACTTAATTTTTTATGAATAAGGCCATTAAACTCTAACTTATTTGGTTTATGTTATGCAAGAGACTACACGCAATTTCAGTTTATTTTAAGTGATGGACAAAATTGAATGATAGTAAGTCATATAAGGAAAGAAAATTGGGTTGCCAATGGAAGAAAAAATTTAAAAAGTGTGTTTTTTAATAAGTTTTCGATACTACCAGTACTTTGCGAAGTATCGAGTAAAATCACCAAATAAGGTATCGAGTATTAAAGTACTCATTTTTATACCCTCAGTATCGATACTTACTCAATATCGATAGTATCGTTCGAACCCTATATATAATATTCTTGAACCTGTAAACATCATGAAATCTAACGTTAACAAGTCACGCTATTGTACCGTTTGTAGCTTTCTATAAAAGACGAATTTGCAAATAAATAAGTGCCATTATATTCCCGCTGGTAGGTGTGTACAAACATAATCGGTTTTCAGTTGCTTTCATCGTACAGTAAAGATATTTTTAATAAAATGTTAAGTTAAAATATAGTTATGTTGCTTATTATAGCAGAAAAACGTGATCATGGTGGCACAGAGAAGAAACATAACTTTTCCTTGAGATGTGAGAATAACAAGCACAACAAATTGGACGGCTAATAATCTGAGATTTGCCTGTGTAAACGAGGTGATTAAAAAAACAGCTTTGATTGAGATAATATTCATATGTGAAGATAGTTTTATATACAACCTAAAGGTTTCACTCCCTGCGATATTTTTGAAACTATCAACAATCCTGGGACACGAATTTCGAANAAAATGTTAAGTTAAAATATAGTTATGTTGCTTATTATAGCAGAAAAACGTGATCATGGTGGCACAGAGAAGAAACATAACTTTTCCTTGAGATGTGAGAATAACAAGCACAACAAATTGGACGGCTAATAATCTGAGATTTGCCTGTGTAAACGAGGTGATTAAAAAAACAACTTTGATTGAGATAATATTCATATGTGAACATAGTTTTATATACAACCTAAAGGTTTCACTCCCTGCGATATTTTTGAAACTATCAACAATCCTGGGACACGAATTTCGAAACGATACGATACCATATCGATATTTTTGCCATTCGGTACCGATACTTTTTACTCGATAGTTTTCTAACGATATTTTTTGGAATCGAGTACCAGGTCCCTTCCCTGCAAAAAACGGCTGACCATATCGGAAAGAAACAATCGATTGTAGGCTCGCATACATATGTACATAAACCACAATATAACCAGTAAACAACCTTCGGTGAATTTGGCGACTGCCTTCCTCGGGGATGAATATGCTAGGCATGGAATTATTGGTACACACGCCTTCGAAGTACGCAGGGTTGCTTTTAAGAAACAAAAATAATTAACTCCAAATAGTTTCAAAAAGTATAGTGTAAAACGAAATTTATTGAATAACTCCACATAAAATGGTATACATAAATGACTCATTTTCTAAACGATTTAAATAAAACGCATTTCATAACCTTTTTTGTGCAAACGGCATTTGCGAATTGATAGAAAAGTACTACGGNCGGATTGTAAATTTTTGTTAACTATGAGGTGAATGAAAATTTTCAACCCGGCCTGACGGTTTTGAAGAATTTTTTGTTCTAATTTTATTACTAAGGCGTCTAATAAATGAATAGCTTTTAGTTCTAGAAGAATTAGGGTCACTAAAAACAAGTCTTTTTTGTATAATTTCTGATTTTAATTGCTCAACTTCTTTTGCACCACAGCAACTGTCAAAAATTTCCAGCAGTAAAATGTTACGAATTGGCACAGCAGAAATGTAAAATTTTCTCACCATAATAAAAAGTTTTTTCAACATGGAACTTTTCTACTAATTGGCATGAAATTACTATCTCAACGCTCGGAGCGCTGGCACTGAGGGCCTTTGCTAACTGATAAAAAAAAGAGAAAATTTGGAAAGACCAAACAACAATTTTGAGATTTCTCGTTGTGAATACGAATGCCATAGTTTTTACCTAGCTCGTGGGACTACGCAAAATTTTGACAGCTTGTAAATATGTATACACATAAAGTTGTTGGCGGTAATAAAGAGTCAAAATCAAAATGGAGAAAAGAACAAAAAGCGTACGTTAGTTGTCAGTTATAAAATAAATCCAATTTATTTGCTAATATTTGTTTATTCTATTTATTGAAAGGCAACCAAGCTTGTGTTAATTATATTGATAACAGAACCTGGCAACTCGCACGTTGTCTAAATTCTCAAGTAACATAAAATCCACAAAAGAATACATTGCTTGTATTACCATGTATAAATTTTAACAACACACAAAAATAGAGCTTTCGCACGAGCGTTTGTTTTGTTTTTCAACACCATTTATAATTTTCTTTTAATAAAATCACGATTTGTCAAATGCTTAAATTTATTTATCTAATAATAATGCAGCACACTACCCTGAAATCTAAGAAAAAGGCTGAGCCATTTAATAGCAGCACACAACCCCGTGCCTTCCTCAGGAGTGAATATAACTACAACAACAATGACTACTACAACAACAACACAAAAAGGTTGGTTACTGTCTATACTGTGACATACATACATACATCAAAGAAAATTTTACTTTTATTTACTGGTGTTATTGTAGTTCAAAGTACACAAATGTAGAAAACGTAAATCGATAATTTGATAAATAATGAAAATTTTTAATAAAACATCGCGCGTTCTCTCGAATGGCACGTCAGTGCTCTGCTCAGTCAGCCATTGCGTCTGCTGAGCCAGTGTGCGCAAAATGACATAAATACTTATTTTTATATTTTATTTCAAACTGGACGAAAAAAGTGAGTGATGCCACAAAAATAAAGGGCCGCAACTGGGGCCATGCTTAAATTTTTCATTTAATAATTTTTAACTCTGAGGGCCAATTTCAAATGAATATTTAAGCGGCACTTAAGTTTAATTGTGGATTGTTTTTTAAATGCCATTTAGCTTTCGTTGGGTTTCAGATCAACTCTGTTTAAATATGCCAAATATTTGGCAGCACTGCTGCTTGGTGGGATCTGGAGGGATTGATTAAACAACCTACCAAACAATCATTGTTGTTTGGTACAAACACAGGGTTGCATATCTCATATTTAAATAGCCAATATTGGTCATTTAAGTGCAGATTAAATGTATGATCTGAAAATGAATAGTGAAAGTTTATCAACAATCTCTACTTAAGTATGCCATCTGAAATTGGGCCTGAGAGGAAACAATAATTAACAGTTTTAACGCTAATTAGTTAAGTGCCCGTTAGAGCTAATTTAAGGAACGTTTCTGAGTGCGGCTGTAAGTCTAAAAAATTGGCTAAACTAAGTTGAGTTGAAGAAACCAGCCCTTAGACTTGAACTTTAAACCTAGCTCAAAAGCCGATGGCAATTCAATACCCGCTAGCTGGCGAGGAGTCCACATATTTTAAAAACCCATATACATAACGACGACAGCTGTGACGTAGTGGTAAGCAGTGCGCGCTTCCACTCCGCAGCACCTGGGTTCAAACCCTGGTCAAAGCAACATTGAAAAAAAAAATTGAAAAAATATTTTTTCTTAACAGCGGTCGTCCCTCTGCAGGCAATGGCAAGTCTCCGAGTGTATTTCTGCCATGAAAAACACCTTTCCAAAAAATTACAATCGCCGTTCGGAGTCGGCGTAAAACCGTAGGTCCTTCCGCTTTGTGTGACAACATCAAGGCGCACGCCTAAAATCGGAGGAGAAGCTCGGCCAAACACTAACATATGTGTAAGCGCCAATCCATTATTATTATTATTATTATTATTATTATTATTATTATTATTATATACATAGTCCGATTGGAACGTATGTATATCACAGCGCACAACAGTGCGCGCGAGTGACGAAAGCAGCAACAGTAGCAGGCTGAAATCACTCGCTTATATATACACGAGATTTGGAAGTTTTTATCCAGACGTCCAATCGACATGTTTGATATATCGTTGGAAAGGTCCTGTAGAGTGTGTCGAGAAAATATAGTCAAGCTTCGTAAACGATTCCGGTTAGGATTCTTAAAAATTAGGCTAAAGTGTTGCGAAACAAAAAACGTTTTTTTGCTTTTGCCGGTTTAAGGGGGCATGTGGGCACACCCAACACATTTACTGTTATTCTATAGGCCAATACCTTTCAAACGATACCTTATTTATTAAGTTCCGGTTACAAGTTGGAAAGATATAGAGGTAAATGTGTTTTGGTTCCAGTCTCCACTACGAGATGCTTTGGTATGTATGTGGCGTCTGTACGTACCATCATTTATTTTTTTTTTCAAACTTTCAGGAATCAAAGTACACAAAAAACTAATACCATGTTCTGACCGACATCGAAAACATGTTTTCGGTGCTAAAACTGGTTTTCGACCTAAAACTTGTGTTTTCGTCCATTTAAAATCTATCAATAATTGGCTAGCCAAAATAATGTAAGCATGGAAGAAAAGGTTGTGAATGA